TGACCGTCTCGTGATGCTGCGAGCATCTCTTCAGCATCTCGACGACGCACGCGTGAGAAGCCATCCTCGTGTCCGCTCCCCCGACCTCCACCAGCAGGTCTCCCTCCCGCAGCTCGCGGTGGCAGCGCCCTCTGTCCAGGATCTTCTTCACGACCTGGCCGCGCGCGGAGTCCGTCAGCGTGAAGCCAAACCCGCTTCCTCCCTTCCGCAGCGGGACGGTGATGAACTCCGCAGCGGGATGAGGATGTTGCGGAGGAAGATGCTGCGGATGAGGATGCTGCGTGGGATACAGAGGAAGATGCTGCACGGGATGCGGATGAGGAGGATGCTGCGGATGAGGAGGATGCTGCACGGGATGCGGATGAGGAGGATGTTGCGGATGAGGAGGATGCTGCGCGGGATGAGGATGCTGCACGGGATGAGGATGCTGCGGATGAAGAGGAGGCTGCGGATGAGGATGCTGCAGATGAGGAGGATGCTGCAGATGAGAAAGATGCTGCGGATGAGGATGCTGTGCGGGATGAGGATGCTGCGGATGAGGATGCTGCGCAGGATGCGGAGGAAGATGCTGCGGCGAGTGGGCTTCCTCATTCTGTGTCTCCTCGTCCGCCCGCGCCGCTGCGGGGTGGGGGGCCGCCGGCGCGGCGCGGTACGACGGCACGCGTTGCCGTGGCGACGTCGTCGGCGCCGTCGTTATGGCGATCGTCGTCACGATCTCCGTGTTCGGGTCGTCGGGGTCGAAGGGCAGCGGGTATCCGCGGCAGACGGTGAGTCGGACCCGCGATCCGGCGCTGATCTGCTGAAACATGGCGACGACATCCTGGTGCGTGTATCCCAGCACACACTGATCGTCCACGAACGCCAACACATCACCTACAGCAGAGAGAGAGATAGAGAGATGTTATATATCTTATATAGGGAGAGGGGGAGAGGGGGAGAGGGAGAGGGAGCAGATAGCTGGTGTGTGTATCCCAGCACACACTGATCGTCCACGAACGCCAACACATCACCTATAGCAGATAGAGATAGAGAGAGATGTTATATATCTTATATAGGGAGAGGGTAGAGGGAGAGGGGGAGAGGGAGAGGGGGAGAGGGAGCAGGTAGCTGGTGTGTGTATCCCAGCACACACTGATCGTCCACGAACGCCAACACATCACCTACAGCAGATAGAGAGAGAGAGAGATGTTATATATCTTATATAGGGAGAGGGCAGAGAGAGAGGGAGAGAGGGAGAGGGTGAGAGGGAGAGGGAGCAGGTAGCTGGTGTGTGTATCCCAGCACAAACTGATCGTCCACGAACGCCAACACATCACCTACAGCAGATAGAGAGAGAGAGATGTTATATATCTTATATAGAGAGAGGGGGAGAGGGGGAGAGGGAGCGGGTAGCTGGTGCGTGTATCCCAGCACACACTGATCGTCCACGAACGCCAACACATCACCTACAGCAGATAGAGAGATGTTATATATCTTATATAGGGAGAGGGGAGAGGGAGAGGGAGAGGGGGAGAGGGGGAGAGGGAGCAGGTAGCTGGTGTCTGTATCCCAGCACACACTGATCGTCCACGAACGCCAACCCATCACCTATAGCAGATAGAGAGAGAGAGAGAGAAAAACAAAGAGAGAAACAAAGAGAGAGAGAGAAAGAGAGAGACAGAGAGACATAGAGAGAGAATGAGAGAGAGAGAGAGAGAGAGAGAGAGGGAGAGAGACATAGAGAGAGAAAGAGAGAGAGAGAGAGAGAGAGAGAGAGAGAGAAAGAGAGAGAGGTTATAAATTTCATACAGTAAGATGGAGAGAGTTAGTGTGGGATAGAGGGGGCAGCGAGGACAAAGCTAGTTGACAACCGCATCTTCAGGTACATCTGTAACCAGACACACCTGTAATCGACACCATCAGCATCCTCACGCACACCTGTAATCATCAGCATCCTCACACACACCTGTAATCATCAGCATCCTCACACACACCTGTAATCATCAGCATCCTCACACACACCTGTAATCATCAGCATCCTCATCACTCACCTGTAATTATCCTCATCCTCATCCTCATCGCTCACCTGTGCGCAGCTTCCCGTCGACGTCGGCCGGTCCGTCTGGGACGATGTTTTTCACCTGCAGGAATTCATCGTTGCTCTCGTCGCCGCCGACGATCGTGAATCCGAAGCCGCGCTGCGACTTAACGAGCAGAGCATCGATCAGCTCTCCGCGAAGATGCTGCGGGTCCCGCGTGAAGTACGGCTTCCTCTCTGCACAGGTGAGAAACACAGGTAGATGGTGAATCAGGAAGCCACGCTGCGACTTAACGAGCAGAGCATCAATGAACTCGCCGCAAAGATGCTGCGCAGGTCCCGCGTGAAGTACGGCTTCCTCTCTGCACAGGTGAGGGACACAGGTGAGATAGGTATGAGATACGTGACACAGGTAGATAGTCATGGAATGGACAGGTAGACATTGATGGTATGTACAGGTAGCGTGTAGAGCATTGGGTTATCAGATACAGAGAACGAGAGAGCGAGAGAGAGACAAACAAGAGAGAGGGGGAGATAGATAGAGATAGAGAGCGAAGGAGAGAGATAGAGAGCAGGAGACAGAGAAAATCAAAAAGAGGGAGACAGCGAGAAATAGAGAGAGAGTGGGAGTATTTTACTGTGTAGGCAGGCATGCAGTATGTAGTTAGTGGTGATGGCTGGTGGTGGGCGGGCTATATAGCAGAACACACCTTCACGCAGCAGTACAGTGGTGAGTATCCCATGTAGCAGTCCTGTATCATACGCATGCTGCGGTGACTCTGTCTCTACCATGCTGACCCAGCTCTCACACACACACACACACGCACCGCAGTGCANACACACACACACACACACACACACACACACACACACACACACACACACACACACACACACACGCACCTCTTGTGACACCAGTAGATACGACGAGAATCACAGAAAACCTGCTACGTACAGCCACGCGCGCTTGCTGCGTCCTGTTACTACACACTCACACAAACATCTCACACCACACACAGCCGACACACCACCCGCCGACGACACACGCGCCACCAGCGCCACCACGGGGGCGTGTGTGCCCGCGCTCAGATTAGCCGCCGATGAACGATAACTAGGGTCCCTATATATACAGAATATAGTATATAGGAATAGTATATAATCTGTATATAGGAACCCTAACGCTAACTAACTCTTTGACCACTACGCCAGCTGCTAAAATTAGTGCCCCACAAACGATCGATAGCCGTTGACCACTTCGCTAACCGTTGACCACTTCGCTAACCGTTGACCACTTCGCTAGCCGTTGACCACTTCGCTAGCCGTTGACCACTTCGCTAACCGTTGACCACTTCGCTAGCCGTT